AATGTTCTGTTCTATTTTAGAGTGTTACCATTACACGTTCCTTAACGAGTCCAGCAGAGCAAACTCCTTTTACAACATCAGTATTGACTTCCTTTGTGATGATGATCTTAACGGATGGTATCGCTTTGGGGGAGATGCTGGAAAGCAAATGGCGGATTCATGTGTTCCCGAGTTTCGATGTGGCGCAGAACTGCCGGGTTGGCTGAATGGCAGTCATCCTGAAATAGCTGAGGGTGCTGTCCGACGCAAAGTTTGTTTCCGTTACAAAAACAATTGTTGTGAATACTCAACAAGCATCACAGTCCGTAACTGTGGAGGATTCTACGTCTACCAACTTGGGAAGCCCCCAATTTGTAACTTTCGTTACTGCGGCAACGGAACACACAAACCAAGTGAGAATTTAATTTTCCCGTATAACCTGCTTTGTCAGTTATTCTCAACCTTCTCTTCCCTCAGCCACCAAGTCAACCCCTTCCCCCTTCGCAATTTGCGACGCCGGAACCTTGGATCCCGGAAGATTTGTTTCTCGGGCCTTCCTCGCCTCTTTTTACGCCTCAAACACGATAGTATATTTTCGCTTCTTCGTATATCAAACACGGGACACAATGTTTATCGTCATTACCGAGGAAAGCATTAAAAATATAGGAAGCGTAGCCGAGTGTGACAGATTTTTTTTCCCGACGATTCAAATACAACGAACTCGAAAACCGTTCCAGATACAAGACTCCGACTACCACTGATGCCACTTACTGTCATTACAAACAACCAGGTGGTGACTACCATTACACTCAAACTACTCACTTTTAACTTCGCAGTTGTGGGCCAAATGCCCCCCACGCCGTAAGCAATAAAGTTTCAAGTTTTCATGTGCGACATCTGTGAATATGGTGCTTAGGGACCTGCACTTAGCCGTGTTGGTCCTGTTGTCATAGCTAAGGACTTTAATTTTGTTGCTTTTATTACTCTTCGGCACTTTTCTCCGACTTCCTTTCTTATTTTAAGCACCTTGCCTTTACTTTAAGGGTTTAGAATATTATGAAATTGCGTTTCTATCTTATAAGGATTCTCCTATCAGATTGGAAAAGTAGTCGTTTCGAAGACAAGGCAGCAATGGAGTCGCAACAGCAGCAAATGTGAAGCGTCGACTCACTGTACATTGCCACGTTGCACAGAGGTGACTTTTCATAGGGAATTCGGTGGATCACAGACTGTAAGTATTTATGACTGCATACCAAGATGTGATTCCGCACTTTTAAAATGGACTAAGCTATGAGCTTAAACTTAACGTCATCGTTAAATTCATGAACAATGTTTCCCCGGGGAATTTTAAATGAGTCAAGGAACTAATGTGTATTCCAACCCTTCATCAACAAAGAGTCAAGAATCGAAAAAAATAATGATAATAATTCGCCATCTTTTGGGTAATGTTACCAGACAGTTTCGTGTTAAAGTTAATCTCAGAATATCGATTTCTCAGTTGAAATGACTTCAAGTTAGACCATAGAAGCACTCGGTGTTTTCTTGAAAATAATTGTAAAGGAGACAAAAAAAGACGTTACAACGGTCGATCAAAACGACTAAAACAAGGAGAACAGCTGAAAGGGAACAAGGACTTCGATGGACTGACAGTGGTATGTCAATGCCACTGGCGCGCTCTATCTGTTTTTATTTATACGTAAAACTATTTCTAACCGATGCATTTCAGGTCCGCGTTTTTGTGTCACTGAATCATGAAGAAAACTCGTCGATGGCTCACACGCCTTCGGCTCTATGGGCAGAATCCATCAATACAGTTGGATTTAAACTATGTTCGCGCACGGCGGGTAATAAAAACGACACGGGAATTATCAACTGGTTAGCGTTCGAAGACCAGCCAAGCACAGACATAACGCATGGAAGCGTTGCTCTTAGTGGAATATGGACAACAGAAACCAAGTGTGAAAAAGTGGCCTTTTCTCAGGTTAGATCATGAAATTAGTTAACAATCTGTTGAAAATAAAGTACAAAAATGCTGCTTGTAAGAACAACACTTTTTAGCAGGAATGACATCGTGCTTTCTGTCATTTCTCAAGGTTTTTTGGTATCTAACACATTAACGTCAATCAGTGGCGGACGGAGGATTATGTGATAGAGGGAACCTAGAGATATAGTAACTGTACACAGTGGCAATATGAGCGCGATAGCGCCCATCAGGACTGCGAACGGCGCACTTTTCTAGGGAGTTTCGGGCGCATGGTCCTCCGGGAAAATCTTTGAGATTGAAGTTCTCTGAGATGCAATCTGGTGCATTCTGGACGCTTGAATTTTATGATGCTAGCGGGGGCCGACGCGATTACGGCGAGAGTACAACCTCCCAGCAAAGTCAGCAACATTGTATCCCTGAAAAATTGTCAAATCCAGTTTGTTTGAGAAGGATATTTACTGCATGCGTTTTGGGAGCTTTGGTCATTTGCGACCAAAAATCTAGGCCTCGAACACAGATTCAAAGAAGATTTATATTAAAAAAATTCAACAAAGGAAATGCATCCCAAGGATATGACTCTAAGACCAATCATAAGTAAATTCATTGCATGGGATTGATAAATGTCATCCTTCTCTTGTTGCGCTTGGCATAGTCGTCAATAATTACATCATAATCCAGAGCAACGTCCTTGTAAATAAAGAGCAGCGATAGTGCGTTAAGGCGGTCTTCTCTCATGGTGCTTCCAAAACAACTCTTTACAAAGCGCAGTGACGAGTTGCTACCTTCCACAGTTGCACTTGGGACAGGGCCGATCATTAGGAGCCGCAAAATTGTGTGGAGTTTGGAGTATAGGCCTTTGTTGCAGGCTGCCAATTCTTCTTGTAAAATGGAGGGTTTTTCGGTTCTATTGATCCTGAAAATGAAAGCAACCACTTACATATATCGCAAGACAGAAATGGTTTCCTTCGCGTATCACTGAAAAAACGTTTCATAACCATGTACATGAGTACATATAAACTTAGTGAAACTGTGCTGTATTCTTAGTAGATTTGAAATATGATTGCCATACCAAAAGCGCTTCCACAGCTCTGGCTCCTGAGACGCACTGCTTGGCAATGGAAGATCGGGCAAATAGTGACGAATAACTTTCTTTTGAGAAGACTTTTAAAACTTCTGCAAGTTGGCAGGTATCAGTAGCATCTTAAGGGCGGTTGACTCGAACAACGTTCGATGAATTTTCTTTTCAACAACGTTTATTAAAGAAAATATAGTTAAGTAACAAAACTCGACGTACCACCCGACACACGTTTACAAAAGAAAAAAATACCCCCACAAAAAGGGGGGCCTGGGCCTCCTGGGCCCACCCCTAAATCCGCCCTTGTTAACGTTGTCAAAACCAAGGCCTCTGTCCCGGATTAATAGATGGATGAAATTTCAGTCAATCTACGTCCATTTCATTGTCCATAGGCTCATTTCACCTCGTATTTTGTCTTCCAGAGCTTTGCCTCTAAGCCGTACGTGTTTGTTTCCGCAAAGTACGGCCGCAGTACAAAGCCAACTGATGCTGTTTATGTATGGTTGGAGAATGTAAATTCTGAAGGTTTCGAAGTTTGCATCAGGAAATTCTTGCCTTTTGATGGAAAACACAGAGATACAATTGTGGTACGTGGGAAATAACGATAAAGTATACACGTAACATAGATATATGTTTTTTTTCGGGAATCCATCGTCATTTCACCAGCTGTGATCTAGGACAAAGAATAGGTAGTGTCTGTCGTCCCGCAATGCTCCATATTAGGTCCTTTTATATTTAATTTGTACTTAGCAGATCTCCAGGACCATATACTATGCCACTGTTTAACAGGTTATCTTTTTTAGGTTAATGCGTTTTTAGAATTTCTGCAAAAACCGGAAAGGGAAAAGTAACAACCTCTCTTGATATGAGGCATGAGCCAACTAGTACTTCGAAGGCTATCAACTAAAACAGTAAAATGATGATGAATTCTCCAACTTAAGTTGGATCATTATACGTTTCTGGTTTTCTTTCACCGACAGGACTGGTTCGCATTCCTCAGGCTTGACAACGTGGCTGCCGGAGAAAAGTTCTTTCCAAATGACGGATACCCGTCAGCTCAGGACAACTATGGCTTCTGCCAGGTGAGTGGTAGCTGTCAATTAGCTGTCAAGGTACCAAAGACTATTTTATAAGAATGTTTTGTTTGTGCTTTACTACGTTCATCAATGAGAACCACGATCCTTTATCCTGTGCCACAGTCGAAGCTAACCTTTGGTTAAGTCCGTCTGCGAAACAACGAGGAAATCCTTGGTCTGGGCCCTCACATGTTTAAGAGGATTTGAGTACGCGCCATAATTGGTCTGTTTAAAATGCCATTGTCGATTTTACAGTCAGGTCGATGGGAAATACAAAACGTATTTCAGAACAAGTATATCCCAGGAAAGAAAGGACACCCCAGAACAAGGATACCGGCGCGCTTTGCAGACGTTACTAACCGAGGTTAAATTACGTTTACACGCAGGCTACGATTCTTAAGCTTAGTGAATTCCTTATTTCTTACAGGACGTTTCTTTCAACAAAACATTCCACGAGTCACCGGTTGTCCTTGTTTCTGTTAATCACCGATACAACCGCCATGCGAAGGACTGGTTTCTCCCGGAAAATAACATAATCTCGACCTGGGTGGAGGTAGGTTTGTGTTTCGTTCTTTATACTCACGCCATCAGATATTCCAAAAGGGAAACTTTTAAATTTTAAACCACAGTTACACTTTGGTGTGCTCATTTTCTACTGTTCTCGCCATTAGCATGAAAACGGTTCTCACTAGCAGAATGAAAATCTACTAAAGTGAAAACGCGCTTCTTTTGTATTATAATAAGTTGCTTGTACTTGGCTGTATTTGCAGAATGTTGGCTTGGAATCTATGAGGATATGTGTTAAAGACCTCAGTGGATCAGGTCCTAATCATGACCCACTTACTGTAGCCTATGCTGTGTTTGGAGGTACATTTTTGACTTAAGGTTGATTTCCACTGGCGCGTAATTTTTCCTTGCGAACGCACGTAAAATATACGCGCGTAAATGAAATAGAGAAAATGTATGGAAGGTCACGCGTAAACGTAAAAGTTGAACCTTGCTCAACGTTTACGCTTACGCGTGACCTTTCATACATTGTCTCTATTTCATTTACGCGCGTAAAATTTACATGCGTACGCACGTAAAAAGTACGTGACAGTGGAAATCCACCTTTAGGCCCCTTGAGAAAGCTCCGCGGCTCGTTGGTTGAAACTCCTTCAAACACAACTCCACTAAAATATCGAACCTTTTTTTCAATATAGACATAGACCCTTGTCTCAACCTACAATGCCCTCGATTTGGAGTCTGCACAGCATATAATGCGTATGGCGGTCGCTGTGAATGTAATGATCAATGTCCATCGTATCAAGATCCAGTGTGCATTGCGAGCGGTACGACATACGACAATCAATGCTGGCACAGGCTCGGCTACTGCAGAGGATTTGAGAACGACCCCCGTATCTACCATCGGGGAAGCTGTGAAGGTAAGCAAGACCGTAAACTGCCGCTCCTCAACCGTTATAGGTCCCCCCAGATACAAGCCCTCATCTAGCTTGTATTGAAATGAATTCGATTTATTATGACGTTCTAAAGCTTGAAATAAACTTAAGTTTAACTTGTTTATATAAATGTGGTAGATTTTGAAAAGTTGCTTCCTATTATATAAAGCACACAGAATTATGGTAAAAATGCGATAATTAGCCTCCATGAATACCTTAAAACCAGTAAATGTCAAACGCACTTTGATCAGTCACTGCTAAAGATGTTCCAAAGAATCCCCGAAGTGCTTTTTCTATTCTAGTTATAAGCCCCGGCGGGTATAGGCCCCTCCGTTTATTTATAAGTCCTCCGAAAACTCGATACGAAGACGTTAAGCCCAGGACTTGCGGCAGTTTACGCTATGATGCAATAAAATAACTTGGACTAGAGTTGCACCAAGCTGATTTTTGGTGAAACATGAACTATTATAAGCGAGAAGGATTGACATGCCTCGTGGCTTTGCAGATGTAGCGAAATTTCAAACATCAGATTTGAAGTGGCTCCGCTCAGCAAAATAACGTTAATTATTACGCATCTTTGTTGTTGCCAGCACTGTTGCTTTATGGGAAAGTACTGAATACAATAAGAACTCTAGCAAATAAATTTCATGGGCGACAGACTGTAAATATATGTTGCTTCTATCAATATCTAAATGGAGGAAGTAATCATCATTAGGGTACCTAAAACGAGATTAATTCCATAATTATTTTTTGCTCTATTAGATCCCAAATTGCAAAACATTTTGGGAGTGGCCATCCACAAAGTGAGCAGCACATGTAATGATCACAGGACATTTTTGTTATGGTCATTAACGACACAAAATAAAATACAATCCGTACATATACGACGTCACATTACACACTAGACGTAAGTCGGCGAAAACGTCAATTAAACAACTGAACAAGCAACGCAAGCGCACTAGACAAAATTCAAAAAAAAAAAAGGACATAAGCAAACTTGGGTGCGCATCGGCATCCAGCTTAACGGAAGCGCAGGGCATATGAATAAGAGACATTGAAATCATGAGATTAACTTATGACATGAATCAAATATTACTATAAGTTGATACGTTTTGTTGAACAGTTTTTCCTATTGTGCGGGGCCGAGAAGACCTTCTCCGTGTTCCAAAATGGCTCGATTCAAGTTGTCAGACCGTTACATTCCCACCATACCGGTTCTACCCGGATAAACAGGTTCATGTCCAAATAACTGTCAATCATATCAAATTGAATGACTCTGTTAAAGTCCACGACGCGGTGACTGCATGGACAGAAAACATCAGCGTAAACAACTTTACAGTTTGTGCCTTGCAAGCAGGAAGGAAAAGAGAGAAATTTACCCCTTTTGCCAGCATTGATTGGGCTGCCTATCAAGGGGAGCCTCCTGAAGCACTCACGGGAACCGTTAATTTGCCCAAATGGTGGAGTGGTACAAACTGCGAGAAGGTGACGTTTCCCAAGGTACGATGGGAACATTTTAAATGTTTCACGAACCGTTTTCCTTGTATGCAGAAGTGCCGAATAATAATCATGACGATGAAGGGAATTTTGCATGGGCTTAATTGGTGTCTGCTACATGAAACAAAAACACCAAACAAACGAAAATTATCATCGTAAAATGATGCGAAAAGTTAGACGTAATTTATAGTTGATATCGGCATATTACCTAAAACCTAGTGCCGGACCGCAACATGCGCAGTGCTGTAGGGAATTACATCTTCGCTCGGTTTTCATTTCAGTAGTCCTAAACCATCTATATATGACTGTTTCATCCGTATTTTTTAAAACCTTGTAAGGCTCCGTCGAGTGAACACTACCACGGATTGATTTATCTTACAGCCTTTCGTCCACACTAAACAGGATGAATATTGTCTACCCAAAACAGCACTTTTCGGAAACGCTTTTCATGGATCTCTGAAAACTCACTGTATTCATTTTGCCAAAAAAGATGCGTTTTGAAATTTATTCGGACTAGTGTGGAAGGAAAACCGTTTACAATGCTTTTTCCAATTTCTCCATTTTCCATTTTTTTCTGATTAATATGGTCAGTGCGCGTAAAATAGCCTCCTTAACTCAATCTTTTTCAAATTGTTTTTTAGTTGTTGTTATTTTCAGAACATTCCAATTTTGACAAACTTACTCGCTTTTTTATCAGGGAAGTTTCACTGAGGCCCCAGTAGTCCTTGTGACTTCAGAGCACCTGAAAACAGGTCAAGAGTATGATGCCGCTCTCATCTGGACCGAAGACGTAACAAGTAGCTCATTTCAAGTTTGTCTTCGAGAACTGCAAAACTTCGATGGTAAACACGAGGATATTAGTGTGGTATGTGTCAGAAGTAAAACTAGAGGCATGTTTATTGCTCTTAAATGGAAAGGGACAACTCGAGAATCATTTCTTTCATGAAAAGTTGTCGCTAAGCAAGGTTCTTTGGGCCACATAATAGCAACATAATAGGCGGCATAATAGCCCAAGTCGTCTCAAACAGGCGATCGACACAGTTATATAGAAACACTTCTGATGCGATGCGAGACTATCCAAACAATTAGGGCGATCGCAATTACGTGGATACGACTGAAGGTTTAAATAGTCGTTCAGAACGTTGGGATCCGGTCCAAGTCGTCGCAGAACATTGATTGAGGCTACGAAGACCAAGCCTTTAATTAATCGTACAATCTTTCGCATTTACCAACTTGTGCCAATTCAATTCAATTCATTTCGTCATAACTTATTTGCTAATCTTAAAAAGTTACATGCCTTTATAGGTATATACGTTCATTTTATTTGGTTAATATTAAGCTTAAGGTTTGAGTATGGTGGCCAAGTTAACCATTCAGTTTTCTGGTTGGCCCCCATACTGCAAAATACTTTTCTTTTAATACAGGCGGAAAAGAGAACCAAACGAGACGCTGTGGGACCGTATATTTGGGCGTCGATGAACTAGGCGTGTGTAAAGTTTTTTTGTGTATTGGGATGTGTTGGTAGTGCAGTAGTGTATATTTTAAGGGTTGGTTGAGATATTTGAAGTGGAAGGCGTGGAGTTATATTGGACGTGGATTGGTAAGATAATGACTGTATTTTGTTAATCAGTGAAACTGGTTTCTCGTAGAATTTAATATGAAGTAACAAAAACTAATTTTTTGGGGAGGTAAAAGTGATTTTAGGTGTTGCTGTGAGGTAGTTGTGGGTGTGCTAATTTCGTTACAAGGGGATAGTGTAGTTTCAGACTGCTGAAATGAAGTGGTGGTTTTGAAAGATCTTATCAACAGTCGATTGTTTTTCGGTTATTTTTTATAATATTTGTATGGACAGAACGTGGATAAGGGAAAGTTCATTTAATATGGAGAATTGAAGTGGGTATGAAGATGTTGGGAGAGGGGCTGAAATTTTGTGTGTGTCTTTTTTTGTGCAAGGACAATTATTTTCTAAAGGGAAAATCTAAATTATTTAATAGTTTCACTGAACCTTGTTTTTTCAATACGTTTGATTTCTATTCCCGATTTGTTTGCTGTGCCTTATCTGTGCAATGTATGTAACGAGGATAAATGCTGTGTCGTAACAAATCGCGCGGCAGACATTCTACTCGCGTCGCTCGGCTTGTTTACTTGGCTTGTCTACGTTCGCACGTATTGCGTGCCTATTACAACTTTGAATCAAAACAAGCGATTTCGATTATTCTATTTGGGCGACGCTCAAATAATAACAGTTACAGTAAGATAGATTTGAGAGATGGTTGGCACAAGTTCCTTCTTGAGAAGGTTCTAATAACCTGCTCATTTGTAGCCATAAAGACCTATCAAACGTGACCAGCCGCTATAACGACATATACGCCCGGAGTCTTCAGAAAAATTGCTGTATTGAAAACAATTATTCTAACAGGACTGAATTACGATGACAATATCATTGCAGAGTCAATGTAGCTTACAACCACTAATTTCAATGAATTCTCGTCGGCAGAACTGGTTTGCGTTCTCTAAACTGCTGAAAACGTCGTTGTCTATAGAGCACGGCGGCACAGATTTTCCAGGGACTAAAAACTCTAACCCACCACCGTTGGATGAAAATAATAATGCATACTGCAAGGTAAGAATAGACTAGAAGTTAATACGTATCACATTTATTATACGATTGGTTGTTAAACGTTACTCACAGTTTTGTGGAACTTTAGCGAAGGAATGGTGAAACGTTTTAACTAAATGTTTTCGTGTATTTCTTGTTTTTCAGTTCGTGTTATTCAGAATAAGTTATAGATCGACTCCAACAGTGCTCATCGCTGCTAGTCACAACACAAACGTATCCGGGAACTCAGCACCAGTTCATAACGGTATTTCCACGTGGATTGAGGTAAAAATCGCCCTAGTTTGATACTATTTCAGGTCAGTTGGAAGGGTAACGGAGCTTCCCGCCGATCATAAAAGAAAACTTCTATTAGCGCTGTGAATAGATGCGTTGACAATCAAAGAAATTGGATGTTCAAGGAAGGATTAATTAAAACNCCGCTATAACGACATATACGCCCGGAGTCTTCAGAAAAATTGCTGTATTGAAAACAATTATTCTAACAGGACTGAATTACGATGACAATATCATTGCAGAGTCAATGTAGCTTACAACCACTAATTTCAATGAATTCTCGTCGGCAGAACTGGTTTGCGTTCTCTAAACTGCTGAAAACGTCGTTGTCTATAGAGCACGGCGGCACAGATTTTCCAGGGACTAAAAACTCTAACCCACCACCGTTGGATGAAAATAATAATGCATACTGCAAGGTAAGAATAGACTAGAAGTTAATACGTATCACATTTATTATACGATTGGTTGTTAAACGTTACTCACAGTTTTGTGGAACTTTAGCGAAGGAATGGTGAAACGTTTTAACTAAATGTTTTCGTGTATTTCTTGTTTTTCAGTTCGTGTTATTCAGAATAAGTTATAGATCGACTCCAACAGTGCTCATCGCTGCTAGTCACAACACAAACGTATCCGGGAACTCAGCACCAGTTCATAACGGTATTTCCACGTGGATTGAGGTAAAAATCGCCCTAGTTTGATACTATTTCAGGTCAGTTGGAAGGGTAACGGAGCTTCCCGCCGATCATAAAAGAAAACTTCTATTAGCGCTGTGAATAGATGCGTTGACAATCAAAGAAATTGGATGTTCAAGGAAGGATTAATTAAAACGAAATTTATGTAGATAAGAACAAGTCAAAAACGACGTAAAATTAATATTGCACATAATAGTATGTACTTTCACTGTACTTTTGGTGAATATGACATCTGTGCATGCGCAGGTTTGCGCTTTAAAAATCTGTGCATGTGGTTTGATAATAGGGAACTTAAGCAGCAGACCGTCTTGGTACCACGGAAGTATTTTGCAGCATGACAGCCACTGCGCATGTCAAGACGTTCTTGAAATGCGGTCACGGACCTCAAAACACGAGTTCTCAGGTTGAAACCAGAGGTTCAAATTCTGGGTTCTTCGGAGAGTATTCGTCATACAAAAGTAAAAATTCTTCGTCTGAAATCATGTTTTCTTCGGAAGAAAGAAACACAACTTCACGCAAATCTTTGAAAGACATTTTCAAATGAATTATCCTGTCGGCGTTCGTGATGGTTTCACGTTGGTTTGCTTAATGATTTGCGTTTGCCGCGTAAACCGCGTCTCTGATCCAGTTCTGCGCGGCCAGCCATGCCGTTCGTGAATCAAGAACGTCTGGTGCTTAAGTTCCCTAATAAGTTATTGCGGGCGACAAGAGGAGCCTGCAATCCTAATCTCCAGAATGATACTGTGATATAAAATATACGTGATAAATGAGAAGAGATATTGCACTTGTCATACAAACGCCAGTTCTTTTATTTCGAACAATGCCGCTTGACGTCTGCGTATCTATGTTTTGTTTTGTTCTGTTTTCAGAACATGAATGCCTCTGGATTTAGAGTCTGTGTCAAAGAGTTGTTTGGAACCAGATATGATCCCTTGTCAGTGAGTTATACAGTGCTTGAAGGTTAGCAAATACTGAAAATTTGTCCTGAACTTCTTAGTTATTTCGAATAAACATACAAAAAGACATTATTTTCGTAGGCTCTGTGCACATGTGCACGTTTAATCTCCGGTTTTCAGGTTAACAAACACATTCAAGAGGATTTTATGCTAGCTGCCGTAAAATTCCGAACATAAAAAGGCCCCGAATATAAGCCCGCAAACTTGAGTCCCCAAAAGGCCTTTTATAGCCCCCCCACCCCATATACGTGCCCCTGGAGAGGGTGGGGGGTGTTTATTTGGGAATCACTCTCACAAACGGAAAATCGTTCCATATCGGAATCCCAAAAGACAAACTCGGACATGAATCTTCACATTTCAGACTTCTATGAATAAATTTTGAACTACTGTGTCGTTTCAGGGTGATACATAGGATCGGAATGAAGGTGTTCTCAAACAATTACACAGACGCAGTTAATCGATAAACCGATAACCGAAATTAATCGATAGTAATCGATATCAGTCATCGATGAATATCGATTTTTGATATCGATCGATAGAACTCGATAAAGAAAAACTTTGTGACCTCGATTAATATCAATGATTTTCCCATAGAAAACGATTATTATATTTTTATCGATTTTGTTAATCGATAATAATCGATAAATGGTTTTTTCTGTGATTTTGATTTCTATCGATTTCCGATATCAATCGGCGGATTAATATCGATGATATCGATTGATTTGCGATATTAATTTTTATCTATTAAGTGCTTCTGGAATTACGTATGTAATGTGAACGGGGTCTAACAAAATGCTCGTTTATACCTGACGACGCCCAGGACCTAAGGATCCACGAAAGCGAAAGTGATTTTAGGATTTTTGATATTTTTACCACATATAGATAACTGTGATCCTGGCTGGAGCTACTTTAAAGGATTTTGCTATGCAATCAGCAAGAAGTGCGCAAATTGGACCGAAGCTCTGGCTAATTGCCGGCAGGAAAACGCAAGTCTCGTCAATGTCAACAGTAATGAAGAAAACGTATACATACAACACCTTCACAATGGGACAAAGTCCTGGCTGGGATTAAATGACATTTCCAGAGAGGGAATCTTCACTTGGGCAGGAAGCGGAGCAGGAAACTTCACAGCTTGGGCCAAAAACCAACCAAACAATGTTGGTGATGAAGATTGTGCCCTTACACTTGGTGTTGGACACAAATACAAGTGGAATGACGTGAAGTGCAGTGATTGTCATCAGTATACTTGTAAAAGAAAACTGATCGGACACGGTACATAAAATGCTGCTTTAATAATAGTAATAATGATAATACAATAATCAACAACTTTATTAACATCTTGTAAAAACCTATAAACAAAAGAAAAAAAACTGCAGTAGGGTAATTATAGTTCCTCGCCATATACATATATGAAATTCTCAAACTAAAAGCATAGGAGTTAGTTGAAAAATGTATATATATAAATTCGTCCTAAACCATGTGCATGACAAAACCATCCATTATGCCTATCAACCTCTAAAATTAAAACGTTTCTTTAAAATGTTTCTAAAAAGAAAAAAGAAAGATTAATTCGGGCAGGCTCAAAATTTTTCGATCTGTAAATCTGAGTCAACAAAGTCTAGCTGTCGTCTTCTGGATCTTGAACCTCTCAAGCTTAGTATCGCAGAGCGTACGATGGCGAAAGACACTTTAGCTCTTATCCAGGAAATTACGCTTGAGCAACTTTCTCTCTTCTTATCTGCAATCAGCTCCGCAAGTCTGCTGTGGTAGTTAACACACTCATCCGCCATTCCGCCTTTGGTCGTGAAAACTAGGGGAGAGAACAATCTCTGTTCGATCTTTATTACTCTTTCTGCATACTGCCTCTTCTTCTCGTTCTTATGTTTCTTGTAGATCTGCTTGGGAGTCAAGTCTCTTTAAGAGTCTGCGTTGTGTGACACACCCGAACATCGAAAAATGCAGATCTCTATCTCTCCCAAAAGCCTTGAGCAAGAATATCCAAACGGGCATCAGGGGCTTTGTTAGCGCCATGATTGGTTAAAAATATTCAGTGGTGATCCGCTTCAAGATATGGAATTCGGATACCATATTTATCTTAATCATAATTATAACAAAATTCAAAATTCTCAAATCTGATTGGCTATCAACTGCCCTAATTTCAGCACTAATAGGACATTGTAATAGGACAGTACGCGTTATGCTTAAGTCATTAGGGACCTTACGATCTGACAACCGCGACACCAATGAAAACGTCACTGAAAAATAGACTTCGCAGCCATTCAAACTTTTTCGCGACTATCCCAAGTCACCCAGTCATTTGAAAGAAGGAAATTTAAGTTGGAGCTGAGGAGAAGGGAACGCACCAGAGTTCAGACAAAGATGGTAGAATTTATCGCCTTGCATTTCCCGTTCTCAAGTCAACTTAGAATTTGGTCATTCCACGTCGCACTTTGGCTGGAACGACAAAGAAATTTACAAAAAAGCGTGATATGCACGTGCAGAGTTGTTGTTTTGCTCATTAAACCTATTGCTTTTTTGACGTTCCCGTTGCCGTCGCCGTCGCCGTTGTAGTTCATAAATTTTGTTATGATTAATTGGTAACAGAATTTCGTGTTGTCCAATTCGGTCTGTAATCGTACTCGTTATTAAACAAATCACTCTTTGTTAATCACTCGTATGACTTCAGACCGAATTGGACTCCACTAAGTCCTGTTACCATTACTCGTCAATCTTTCTCTCAGGTTTAGAAGAGTCTGCTATTGTGGGAGAGAACAGGAACTACCTGAGAATTTTAATCAGTTGGTTATCCCCTGTGGAGCAAAGCAGTAATTCTCTCTGGAAACGCTGTTGGCGTGCATCCGTGGACGGCTGGGCTGCAAATACATTTCACTACCAATGTGACCGCAAGGGCCCGACTGTGACAATAATAAGGGTCGGGAGATATATTTTTGGAGGATACACTAGTGTATCATGGGGTAAGTGAGCGAGTGACGCTAGTCGTCGAAGAACTATCAATTAAATATTTAATCTTATTTCACCACGACACACTTACAATAATTAAATCCATCGAGCAAAAATTTTGACGTATATTCTTGCATTTCTTCCGTTCAGTTTTAGTGAGAAATTTGGCTATTTCGTCTTCGTTTAGCCGCGTGAACACTTTCGTCCTTTCTATGCGTTCATCCATGCCAAATAGCTAGGCTACTGCACGCCGCTGCCTGGAAACGAATTTGCGATTGTACTTTGGGACAATATACTATCGCATCGACAGTTTATTGCTCGCATCTTCCAAATTTTGTCAGCGACAGCAGGTTATGAAGAATAAGTCAGCGAATTAAAGCCAATCAGAAACGGAGAAATATCCTGAATGAATAATAATGAAGAATATGAAAGTATAGAATAAGTGGTGAGGAGACCTCAAGAAACCGCCGTTCTTGTCCTAAGAGGTCCCCTCGATGACAAAACTAAATTATTAATATCGGGTGGCGAGACTGTACCAGCAAAACTGCCCGTCTGTTATTAATTTGTTTGTTTTATTTACCTTTACATATTTTCATTAATTGTTGGGAAGATCAAGAAGATTTCTTTTGAAGGAAGATAAGAGGTACCGCAAATGCTTGAATTAGCGCCGAAGGGCGAATATTGAATTTTTTTGACTTGAGATCGAAAGGGTCGCTTATTTGAAGGGGGGCGCTTACCGTATTTATTCGATTAACCGCCCTGGGCGCTTATTAAATTTTTGGACCTTGAGAGTATGCGCTAATTCGAGGTGAGTGCTTATTCGAGGCTGGGCGCTTATTAAATTTTCAACATCTTAAGCAAGTGTAGTATGTTTATTTTGCAACAAAACAATAAATGGTAATAACAAAACGCGAAGATGTAACAAAGCAAGGTTCCTGTAAAATACTTTGAAGAAAACTCCATCTTCGGGGAAGTCTCTTATTAGTTTTAGTACTTATTCAATTATGGGAGTGTGGTGGCTTATTTGAGTTTGAGTGGGAGGGGGGTGGGGTGGGCGCTTATTCGAGGCTGGACGCTTATTAACTTTTTCTGCCTTTAGGATGGGCGCTTATTCGAGGTGGGCGCTAATTCGAGGTTGGGCGCTTATTCGAATAAATACGGTATTTCGTTCTTCAGAATTCCAGCCTCGAAACGACCTTGTCTTTGTTTCAAATGAACACTTGTAACGCTAAACAGGAAAACGTAAACATTACTTTCACTAGAAACCAAACTTTGTGCGTTTTTGGTACTCATTTTTCGCTTTTAATGTCCTGTAGTCACTAAGTTCTTTCGCAATCCTTGTCAGAGGTAGACTGCGAGCAGTCTCTCTCTTTCTTCAGATTTAGTGAGAGCAATGCACGCGCGCGGGAGCGGCGAAGCCGCGAGTCACGCGCGTGGCCATTTGCGTGTTTGCTCGACGGACTACAGAAAAAAGAGAGACTGCTAGTAGTCTATGTCAGAGGAGCCGCGTCTTCTACATGCGACAGTGTAATGTCCTCAAATTAGCCATTCTCTAGTTTACTATCGTCCTTGTAGGGGGTGTTAGCCCTTTGCCGATGGATCGGGCCAATTTCGTTCCGTATGGAACGATGCAGATTATGTATTTCCGAACCCCCCTTAGCTTCCGGTTTAAGTTATTAAGTTGCTAAGCAACGAATTAAGGAACGATAGATCTTATCACCGATACCTCATTTTGGAAATTCTAACCAATCCTGCCAGAGCTACACGCAAGAAACCTACTAACATTTTGAGGAAAAATACACTGCCAATTTCGCTATTCACCGACTGCTCTTTGCAAATTAAATTTCTCCCTTTCCTGACTTAGAATAGAAAGAAAGATTGAAATATATATTTGCAAAAGTATTTCCAAATTTTGGCTTAAGCGAATGCACCAAAAATGAAGCTTAACTGGCGGGAAAATATCCAAATGGTTAAGGGGGCGCTAATTCAGGCATTATCGGTAACTGAAGGAGGAAAAGCATTCCGTTTTCTTGTTTGAAACTGTATGAAGTTCGAAGGGTACATAGAATGTTGTGCCTCTCGTAGCACTACACTGACGGTAACTGATATAACTGACAAAGAGAGAATCGAATTAACTCTGAAGTGAAAATTCAAGTGCGACAATTAACCATTAAACCCCACTGAGCGTTATTCCCAGTAGAGGGAATTAGGGGACCATACTAGGCAGGCAAGGGAAGAAATCTTTTAAAGTCGATGGGATTTGAACTGGCACGACCTCTGGACTAGATCTACCGTAGCTTAACCGACTAAGCTATGAGGCCTGAGGAAGCAAGTCGTCGGGGATTAAAAGGTGGTGGATCAAAGCGAGGAAAGAGTGTGAGGGGTACATAGAACGTTGTCCCGCATAGCACTAGTAAGAACAAATGATGGAATAAAGACCCTCTTTCTTCGCCACAGTAACTGTCTAAGAGCCTTTTTCTTGTATACCTGCTTGCCTTAAAAAAGGTACATTATACGGGTGGCTTCGCTGTGAGTACTAAGACAATGTTGCTATTAGCACTTAGTTCTTTTTCTTTTCTTTCTTAGGTTCTGAAGGCTATGCCCATCGTTTTAAATACTACTCAAGAGACTCAAAAGCGTTTTTGTTTTCACTGGTGAACAAGCCTGGATGGGCACCTGCCAAACTGCCCCTGACAGGGAGATATTCATATAGATACTCCATATACGTTTCCCCCTACAATGGGCCTACATTCGGAAGTGGATTCGACATTTACATTTCCAACTACGCGTCGTCCAATAGCTATTCTTACAGCGAGCTTGGCTATACTTACAGCCCACCTAGCGGGTACAGCTACCGCAGCACCTTCGCCCGAACATTCCTGGCAGGAACTTACGGGTTCACACCAGACGAAGTAGAAGCTTTTTAAGAAACAACGAAAATGCAGTGAGCTGCATCAGCCTTGACATTTCGCTGGCGGGGCTTGTTTTCCTGTAGTGCGCATAACTAAAATTAAAAATTCATAACTAAATTAATCGCAATTATATCCTGTCCTTGCTAAAGAAGCTATCTTCAACTATAAGGCAATCGGTTGCTGCCACGAAATAAAGCTGGAAAACTGATAGTTGAATAAAAGTACCCCATGATATATCATGTAGAATAATATGATTATTAGGTATGTCACGGCTCTAGGGTTTAGTGTAAAATCCGTTTTTTTTTTTG